TGTCATTTCTCCGATCACAAATTCAGACATGGTTTTATGTTTACGCGGCACGATGCAACGCAACGCGTAAAAAGACAGTATAAGTCATTATAATCCGTAATTATGTCCCCACTGGATGCAACAAATACCTTGTTTATAATGGGTTTTAATTGTTTTGTCTCGCCATGCTGGGAGACGGCATCAGAGTGTGTTAAGGGGCATAACATTTCCGCTTGAGGTATTCAGCCAATCACAACGCACTGCATAGCTGGCCAATCAGAGCACACCTCGCTTTTCAGACCAATGAGCTTTGTAAAAATCGACGCGTTTCAGAAAGGCGGGGCATAGAGGAGAAACAATAATGTACAGTATGTGGAAAATAATGTGTTTTTTTAACCTTAAACCGCATAAACACATTTTATTACACCAAATACACAAAATAATGTTCTTTTTAGCAACATCATATGACCCCTTTAATTAAAAATATTGAGAATTAACTCTTTTTTAAGAGTCTAAAGCCCATCTCTGTTTACACTGACTGAATTACCAATTGAAGATTATAAATGCGTTAACACTGTCAGATATTTTGAAGACAATTAATGAACTGTGAATTATGTTGCAAGGTCTGTTTCTTGAAATATATTATCATATTTTTATACCCTGTTTTTAAAGATGAAACATTTTTTTGAGATATTTCATTTAGTGTGGTTTTGTTTGTTGGAATGTCAAGATACCCATATTTTGTTTAAAAGCCTTTTTTTTGTTTACCGTGCCAATTATTCAGGATTTGGTTGACACTGCTAACCTGTGATTGCCAATGAAAAATAAAGTTTGCTTAGAAATCATTTTATTGCTCTGTTTCCTTTTTTTTCTACTGTTATATTATCCTTTGTGGTTTAGTGTGTTTTCTCAGCAGCACCAATAAATAAAAAATATATTATAATAGCAAGCAATTTTCTTTACAGCAGACATTGTGCATTGACCTTGCTTGTCTGTGGCAGTAGTGATTTTTTTTTTTAGTGCAGCTGTTCTAGTAGAAAAGTAAAGTTGAAAAGTACTATAATGAGGTAGAGCTGTTTTCTGAATGTAACCTGTGGTTGAGGTCAAAAAATAGAAGGAGAGCATGTAATCACACTGCTCTGACAGACAGGTGCAGGCTCTGAGGGCATTAGCCTGTCTTAAGGGGATGAGATCAGTCCCAAGCCAAAGCTTGTGTCACAAAGGGACATTTCACAAGACTGGACTAACATAAAAAAGAAAAGGACCTTTAGAGAGGTGCAAATGACGATAAAAAGCTCATAGGTGGTGGCACATACTGTATTGAGTTTGGAAAGTTGGGAAGGTCTTTGGCTTCTAGAAAGAAAACAGCTGCATCTCTGTGACCTTCGCCTGCAGGGGGTGAAAGTCTCCAGCTTCCTCACAGCTCACATCCTTGAGATGATTAACACTTTAAAGAATTTTGTTTACTCATGCTCTGCCAAATGCATTTCAGTCACACATCAACATGAGCTTTAAAGTGAAGTAGATATTGGATTGAATTACTGAATGATGTGTGAATTCCAGAAAGCAGAATGAATCTGAATAAGGAAGATTATAGTTGCTTATTAATAATGCTTAAAGATAATGCTTATTAATAGTTGGTAAAGTAGTTGTTAAGTTTAGGTATGGGGTAGGATTAATGGATCTAAAATATGGTCATGCAGAATAAGTCATTAATATGTGCTTTATAAGTACTAATAGACATTTATTTAGATGGATGCATTAAATTTATCAAAAGTGACATTAAAGACATTTATAATGTTACAAAATATTTATACAGTATTTCAAATAAATGCTGTTCTTTTTAATCTTTCTATTAATCAAAGAATCCTAACGTGTGTGTGTGTGTGTGTGTCTGTTAAGCAATCAGATTTTCCATCAAAGGAATAAATTACGTTTTAAAATAACAAACAAACAAAAAAAAGTTACTTTAAACTGTAATATTATTTCACAATATTACAGTTTGTACTGGATTTTGATCAAATAAATACAGCTTTGATGAACACAAGAGAACATTTTAAAAAATCTTTCCAACCACAAACTTTTGAACGGTGGTGTAAGTTATTACAAGTTTTACTAATTGGATGGCTGTTTCCTTGTGGAATAAAAACAGGGAAACAAATCTTTGTTAAACTTTTGTAAAGAGGTCCTTTCACATACATACAGTATGACTCCTGCTACAGTTCTAAGGGAGAGAATAATGCCTCAGCTACTTTTGAGCTGAAGGGCACAGTTATTACTAGACGTATGATGCATTGCTCATCTGTAGCCTTTAACCTAGAGAGGTATTTTGCAGTCCCTTGTGGAGCTGTAATTCTTGTCTTCCTGGTACTAGTGCAGATGGCAAATATCATTGATCATCACAGCAGGAATATACAGGTCAGACTCATTCATTCCAGCAGAAAGAGCTCTAGGTCTTAGACAAGGAAGCTCTCGCTCATAATCGTTTGCAAAGAAATATGATCATTCTGTACAGCGGTGCGTTTTGCACATTTGGGTCAGGTTGAAAATTGTAACAATATTCCAAGGCACGCTTGTTGAACTGCATGCAATCGATCTAACCTCATGTACTTTTATACTTTTAAAGATTCACCAACAGTGTCAACATCCATTAGGATTTCAAGGAGGTTCGCATTAACAAATGGAACCTTCATGAAGTAAACCTTGAAACCCACTCAAGTACAAACAAAAAGAGCACAGAAAGCATTAGTGCATTCACACTGACAGAGAAGAGTGAATCAGATGAGCAAAAAGCTTTCAGTGCTCCTGTATTGTGTCGATTCACAGGGTGTTGCGTCAAGACCCGCCAAGATCTCAACCAAGATCTTAGTTTCAATAGTAAATAGATAGACCACGTAACAAAATAATGCCATGAAAGATTGATTTTAATGGATACTTCAAGTGTAATGTGGACAGGGCAATCAGGGTTGGGTGCTGTAGGAAGTCTCTGGCTGTTGAAGAAGGGGCTGGGCTTCATTTGTTTTAGAAGCAGGAGAATTATCCTGTAAGGTGACAGAAGCATCTCTGGCACGCAGCTCGATTTCTGTGAAGGAAAGATAATTCATGTCTGCCATCTAAAGACACACAAAAAGAGAAAACGGACATTTATTATAATTGGTAATGACACTTAAATGTCCAAACAGCTGATAAAGGCATCAGTAATCCACGCTTCTCCAGTCTATCAATTAATGTCTTGTGAAGCAAAAAAATACATTTGTTTTTAATAAACAAATCAATCATTAAATGGTTAAAATATAAGTCCTCTATTCATAATACTGCTTTCACCAGTTAAAAGTCCCCTGATCTGAATCAAAAGATATCAGCACCATCTTGAAGATTATGATTTGCAAATCAAGCACTATTTATAAGCAAAAACAGTCCAAAACAGTTCTATACAAATATGTTGATGGATTTTGAGTGTTTTTGGAGATGTGAGAGGACAACAGAGATGAAAGGATTTTGTTCACTGGAGGAAACATTATTATGGATTATGGACTTGCATTTTGTCCAAAAAGGATGGTTTAAATTTAAAACATCTTATTGATGCATTTGTTTCTTATACATAGCTTTTTACTTCACAAGACATGTTGTGGATTATTGTGTTTTTATCAGCTGTTTGAATTCTCATTCTT